AGCTCATTATCGTCAAATATTTCTAAAATGTTTACGTTCCGAGGCAGATTGCCGGCAAGTTTGTGGTTTGGTCTTAGTGACTTGACTTAGGAGTCACTACTCCTAACGTTTCACAGATTTAGGAACTAATTTTAGCGCTAAAACGCTTTGTGAAATACTCTTAGAACAAAAATGTAGGAGTCCTAAATTTAGGACTGACACGCCCATTATTTTAAAGATTTTTCTCCTAAATCGGCGAGTTATGAGCTACTTTTAGCCTTAAGATGTTTTGTGAATACGGGCCCAGGTGAATTTTCATACAGTGCTACTGACAATGAGACTTGGTGGTTAGGACATCACTGATTTGTCTCTTCATTTTGTTTTTGCAGGATTTGAACACTGTGGCTTTCAGATTTAAGGATAAGGAACGTCCTCGTGGATACACGTCTAAAGTGGCTGGACTACTGCATGTAGGTGTCTCATGAAAGACTTTAAAAGGTTGTCACCATGGTTACAGTTGCTTGTGTCATCCGGGTGCTGCTCAGTGTTTTGTCAGGAGATCATAGCCAGTGTTTCATTTTAATTATTTTGTGTTTGTGTACTGCATACAACAGCAATGCTGCATTCTGTCTACTTCAAAACTAGTGTTTGGAACAGTATGCATTATTATACCAACTGATCAGTATTGTGTAACTTGGCTCGAGAATTAAAGACAAATGGCTGTTTTGCATTTTTCTACACTAATTTTGTGAACTTTTGGTGGTTTAAAATAATCAGTCAAGAATGATGTTAATCACTGTGTATATTGCTTCTGGCTCATTTGTCACTTTAGAAATGTAAGGTTGAGTGCATTGTATTGTATGATGCTGTAAAATACATTTATTACACTATACATTTTAACACTGAAAAGCTTTCGAAAGCTATGAAAAGATCCGATATTCTTTGAGAGCAAAAGATATAGAAGATAAGAATATTTCTGAATATAATGCCCATTTCTCTGTGTATCAGTACTATCCGCTGGAGGAAGTCTTGGCTGCTGAATACTTGCTGGAGGAGTTCAGGCCAGACTTGATCGAGATGGTGCTTGATAAACTGAGACCAGAGAATGTCAGGTGAGCACACACAAGGTGGTCTTTCACTTTTGTAACATGCACATAAGTGCATCGATTTAAGAGTGTGCATCGGATACAAGTTGGTATTTGTATCGCAATGCATAATTTTTAACATATTTGCATCGTTAAAAAACAATAATTTATTTGTGTGTGTGTGTGTGTGTATATATATATATATATATATATATATACTGTATATTGCGTAGCATTTTTTGTTTTCCATTGCATTGAATCGCATTGTTAAATCAAATAGAAATCAGATCGCACTGCATCGTAATCTGGGTGAATCGTATCACATCAGTAGCTGCTTTATATGTATTTTTAATGTATTGTATCGTCGGCTATGCATCGAGATGTCTATCGCATCAGCCTCAGTTATGGAGATGCACATCCCTAGTGTGTATATGTAACCTGTGGAAAAAAAGCATTCTGAATTATTATTTTTTTTATTTAATATTGGTGGTGGGGGTTTAATTTATTTATTTATTTATTTATTTATTTTTTCTTCAAATTGCTAATCCCATATATTAAACCAAAACACTGTGGTTTGTGTTACCCCTGATAAATGTTGTTGTGGATCGATCTGAAAGATATTTAGTTTCACCTCAGGATGAGATTAGTTTAACAGACGTATAGCCATTGGTTGCTCTCTCCAAAGACCTTCTGAAGGAGCTTCATATTTGAACCCGTGCAAAGCAAATTTCAGCTTCTTTAATATAGTGCTGCTCAGGGCCAAACTGGGCTCAGATTGCTTATTCCTTTTATCTGTTTTTGAAGTTGTGTTGTTTTTGGGATGGAAGTACTTGTAGGGTTGCTGTATTTCATTTTGTCTTAGTATTTCCAAACTGTTCAGATCAAGATCAAGACTTTGCCTTCAGATCTGGTGATTTACTGCTTGTCATACCTCTTCTTGTGTGATTGACTACACCACTGACCTTGCTAAAAGCTCTGCAACACTAGATGACCAAAGTCTCACATAGCCAGACTTCTGGCTATCTGTGAAAATCTGATCTAGCCTTTTCTGGCCAAGAACTGCCAACTTGGACAGCTAGAGACCATCTGTTCCATATTTAAAATGACCAAGCACAGTTATTGTGACATTTAGCAGTGGGTTTATCAGAATTTGAAATGACATTTTGACTTGTATCCTGTTTTTTCATAAACGTTGCCAAATCCACCAAGTAGTTCTTCCTCAGAAGTGTGCACTGTAGAAACCCAGTACCTTGTAAACAACACTTCCACTTTTTCCAGTAGAACTGAGTAAAAATCTGTGCTCTCAGTGCTGGAAATTTTGTAGCACCAATTAAATGAAAGCTTGGCAGTGCACACAAAAACAGCGAGTGCTTTCTCAATCTAAGCATCAGGCAGTGGGTAAATGGTCTGGAACTGCTGTATCCTGCTGGTAACCTTGTGTGATTTAGACTACTTCTGGAAAGAGTGTTCAGGTTTTTAGACGGAGCCTATTCTGGGCTCTTATGTAGTTGATTGATGCAGGGGAGTCCAGAATAGCACGTCATTGTTCCAAAAGTTCTCTATTGATCAGGACGGTCTAAAATGTCCAGAAATGGTGCATTGATCTAAAGCCCTGCACAGCAGATTGAGAAGCTCCGGGAGACTCAAACGTTTGATTGATGTAATGACCATAATTCTTAATCCATTTACTGTGGCAGAGATCTGATAAAAGCAAAATTGCATGGCCATTTTTCCCAAAGGGAGTTGTGAGAAATGGACCGTGTCATGCTGTGTCTGGTGCAGTGATCTTGCAATTCTTTTGGCTTCACTTTTATTTCTTTTAGGGTCGCTGTTGTCTCTAAATCGTTTGAAGGGCAGACAGACCGGACTGAGGAGTGGTACGGCACGCAGTACAAACAGGAAGCTATTACTGATGATGCTATTAAGGTGAGACACATTTTGTTTTGGTCATGTTTGATTTTGTTTGTTCTTTCCTGTTCAAAGTATGCACACAAACCTTATCTTCATTTTCATTCAGAATTTAGACTAGTGTTAAATGGTCTGGACAGGAAACTAAAAGGGTGTAGGGAGGATCCATGTATTATGAGCATTGTATATTTGATCAAAGGGGACTAGCCTTGTGCTGAGCTCTGAAATAAGCAAGTCAGCTTGATGATTTTTGTAAAAATGCTATAAACTCTACTCTAGCAGACTCATTTTAACTCTGGTTTACTGTAAACCAAACCGTTGGTTTCCTTTTCTTTTTTTATTTCAGAAATGGCAAAATGCAGACCTCAATGGAAAGTTCAAACTGCCAATGAAGAATGAATTCATCCCGACAAACTTTGAGATTTATCCTCTAGAAATGGATTCCCCATCTGTCCCAACTTTGATAAAGGTGTGTTGTTCTTAAAACAATTTTGTATAATTTGCACTAGGAGTAATTTTACATGAATTGCTGAAAGTCTCTCAAACATTGGCTTTTCTTTCTTCCTAAGTCTTTTTTTCTTTTTCTTTTTAGGACACAGCAATGAGCAAAGTTTGGTTCAAACAAGATGACAAATTTTTCCTACCCAAGGCTTGTTTAAACTTTGAGTTTTTCAGGTATGTTCAGCATAAAAACTGTACATAGTAGTGATTGTCTATTTGTTTTTTCATATTTTGCATAATAGGGGTGCTCCGATCAGGATTTCTGAGGCCGATCGCCGATACCGATCTTTTTAAAGCCTTATTTTTATCATTTATACCTATTTATAGTGATACTCCAATCAGGAGTTTTAGACATTTATTCAGGGCCTGAATTTCGTTTTTGAAAATGGGGGGGGGGATTTCCCTCTTATAGGTGACTCTTGTGAGAGGGGATTTAATTTTATTTTTTAATTTGAGGGGTGGAGGGGAGCGGGGTTAGAGATTTTTCAAAAATATTTCTCATCTAAATGTTCGATCATGAAGTGAATTTTTTTTTACACATGCAATTGTTGCACAATAGCTTACACACACCGCAACACAGGTGCTCAAGAAAGTGGCATTTAAACTACTTTTCTTACATTATCACAAACATTCTAAATTAAAACTTACCACTGACAGACACAGTCAGCTCTACTGCCTTTTCTTTTGCATTTAAATCTTTATAATTATATATGCATTTATGGTGTAATTACTACATTTTCGTTTTCATATTTACAGCAAACAATGCGCTGTCACTTTAATTCAGCGCGTGCAGCAGAAACTATCTCTGCACTGCTGCAGACGCACCACTCATGGAACGCACTGCTGGACCGCGACTGTGTGCCGTCACTGCCGTGTGAATGCTTGTGTCTTGTGTTTCGTGTCTCACAGAAAAATTTCAAATTACTTATATGAATTGTACCTCACCTTCAGCATTATAATTATTTCACCCGTGCCAGACTGAGATGGTGCCGCTGCATGTCGTGCCAAACCTCACACGGCAGACGCATCATCAGCTTGAGATCGGCCATTATAGACCGCCGATCAAACATCCCAAAGCGATTATCGGCCGATAGTGATCGGACGCCGATCAATCAGAGCACCCCTATTGCATAATATTAATAATTAGTAGTAGGGTTTTCTTTACATAAGATTTTTTTAAATCGACGAA